TAAATTGAACTGAATTGAAATTACAGTATATACCGTATGTTGGACTGCAATATCTATATGTTATGAATGCTTAGGGGTAGTATCTATCACAATTCTGTTCAACGACTCCAAACATAATTAAACTAAAAACCACTACTACCACTATGTTAAAGATCCCCTTCAGACATTTATTAAGGCCTACATACAAAAATTCTGCTTAAAACAATAACGTGTGTCTGCAAAAAAGGTAATAACTTCCACATTCAAATTCCTAAAGGGAACGTATTAAGCTTTTCTTTACATTTGGTCATATACATATATACTTTCAGCAGATGAATGTGAAAGCATCCTTTTAGTGTCGAACTCTGCACATACATCATTCAAACATCACACTGTAGGGACAAGAAGAAATACTGATTTTTGATTGTCGGAATTCATGAAACCCTGTTGTTTGTCCAGAGACCCTACATGACTCTGGGTTCGCTGAGGGACCAGGTCATTTACCCTGACACCTACGACGAACAGAGGAGGAAAGGCATCTCTGATCAGGTAAGACACAAAACACTCCTACACACTTAACTTTCACCTACATTGTCTTTGTGTGTTATATACCTTATCTTGTGTTGCCGTATCTTGCATCCAGGTCTTAAAGGAATACTTGGACAATGTTCAACTGGGTCACATCCTAGACAGGGAGGGCAGCTGGGACTCAGTCCAGGACTGGATGGACGTGCTCAGTGGAGGAGAGAAGCAAAGGATGGCTGTAAGGACTCACTCACTCCTTGTCAACAGTCTATGCAAGAAACACAACACACTGATTAATCTTTATGACTAGAAACACAAGAGAAACCATCCATCCATTTTCTAAACTGATTATCTTGCTCAGAGTGGTAGGGGCCAGCTTATACTCACATCTGCAGCTACAGTGGTGTTGGTGAATTAATTAACCCTCATGTCTTAAGACGTGGGGGATTGTCATTATGAGACCACTGTATTGTGTCACAGTAACAGTCTGTGGTTGGTCAATCAGAAGAGCTGTTCCAGTCAAAGTAGGCAGCTTTTGAACATGAACAAGAACACTGTGGACCATCATTTAAGCTGCTGGTCAAAAGTCATTATGCCACAATACACACCAGTAAGTTTTAACATTTCGTCAACTAAAATGAAACATTTCATCCTGACCTGGCACCTTTTCTAATATATTTTTCCAAACCTTAATATCTGTGGCTACTAGTGTTACTACTACTAGTGACTCTCCCTCAGATTCCAAATCCAAAAATAAAAAGTCTCAGAGGAAATAAATAATTTAATAGACAGATTTGTTTGAAAGATTATTTTGTGGCTCCAGACAATTATTATTATTTTTTGATAGTTAAAGTTGCTGACCACTGGGTTAGGCTTCACACATTTAAACGTTTTGCCACTTTAAAATTGGTAATGATTCTGAAGTTATCAGTGTCAGATGAATCATTATGCGAGTGTATGTCTGTGTCTCTGTACATAGATGGCCAGACTGTTCTATCACAAGCCCCAGTTTGCCATTCTGGACGAGTGCACCAGTGCAGTGAGTGTCGATGTGGAGGATTACATCTACAGCCACTGCAAGACGGTACGACACAAATACATCACGTCTCATAAAACAAGGTTTACATCTGGTCTCTTAAACACACCATCTTAGTCATTGAGCAGGAAGAGATGGCTAAAACGTTAACTGCAGGCAGGTAACGTATTACCTACTTGTGTTTTTACTTGCTGTTGCATGAGGATGGGCTCCCGTTCAGTGAAGCCAACAGATTGACCAAAGCAAAATGCTTCTGGCAGCTACAGTTAATACTATGAAACAAAACTTCAAACAGAAGAAGATTTAAATGTCCAGTGTGTAAGATTTAGGAGAATATATTTGCAGAAATTGAATATAATATTCATAGGTATGTTTTCATGAGTGCATATTCACCTGAAAATAAGAATCGTTTTCATTACCTTGGAATAAGCTGTTTTTATCTACAGATTGAGCGGATCCGCCATGTTTCTACAGTAGCCCATAACTGACAAACTAAACATAGGCTGTAGATAGGACCTTTTGTATTTTTATGTACATCCTTTCCAGGTTGTCAAACATAGATGCGAGGGGTGTTCAATTAGTTGCAATCTGCTACTTGCCTACTTGCCTAGATGTCATTAAATTTTACACACTGGTTCTTTAAAAGGTGGGGTAAGCAATTCTAGGCAAATACTATGATATAGTGCAAACACAGCAAGTAATGTAACAAAAGTAATGTAAAAAATAAAATTGCCAGACTTTCCTCTTGAGTTTAGGCCTCACCCATCAGTTCATCAAATGCACAGTTCAATTTGGTGGTACACAGTCAATGTCACTGTTTACAAGAGTCTTATTTTATGATGATTGTACAGTGATAACTGATTAATATTGCAGTGACACAGTGTGAATAGGTTTTTGACCTTGTTGAACTGGAATCTGGAGTCTAGCACTACTTGTGTTTTCTTTGTTCCACAGGTGGGCATCACCTTGTTCACAGTGTCCCACAGAAAATCTCTGTGGAAGCACCACAAGGTAAATACTGAATGTCATTTGATTTCAAATTAAATCCACAGCCACCTCAACTGTTCTTTCACCTCACACGCTCTTAGTGTAAAGTGTAGTTTTGCCTGTTGTACACAGAACAACACAGGACAATGGCATGAAGAGCTGCAAGATTTTACAGACCTAGTCTTAAGTCAAAGTGACACATCCGTCAGCCTGAATTCAATTCAGGGTCTGTTTCAGAAAGTTAGAGAATTCCAGCGTTGGAAAGGTTTGTGGGGACAGGCTTTGAGACACTCAATATGCTATATCCTTATGCTGCCCATTTTTCCTGCTTCTAACACATCAACTTGAGGACAAAATGTTCACTTGCTGCCTGATATATCCCACCCACTGACAGCCATGATAACCAAATGTCAGTGTTCATAATTTTATGGCTGATCGGTGTATATTGTCACATCTTACATTAGCTAGGTAATGTTAGCTAGTTAGCTAACGTTTTGTTGACATTAGCTAACTTACAATGTAATGCTTCAAAGATTTTTTTTGCAGTTCAGATGCCTTCTTTCTTTCTTACTGACTATTTTTATGTTTTTGTCTCTGTCATGAAGTATTATCTCCACATGGACGGGAGAGGAAACTACGAGTTCAAGCCCATCACAGAGGAAACTGTGGAGTTTGGCTCATAACTCAGTGCTGGCGTTAGCCACAAATGCACAGCTCTGATACAAACCAGTCCATTAATTCTTTGCACTCAAGACAGAAGTCATAGCTAAAACTAGAAAATAATGTTTTTAATCATTTGTAACTCTCTACCTTGTTTTCTTTGTTTCCTGTTATTTAAAGCAGCACGCGTCTAATCATTAACCTGTTCAGTCTGATTATAAGAAAAACTTGGAATTTATATTGCCAACTTCTAGGTTGGGTTTTACACTTTGGAGAGAGGTTTGAGTGAAGGTGGAAGTATACTGTACAGTTTTAATATTCTGCAATCATAGCTCATTGACAGAGGTTAGCCTGTAAAGAAAAACTAGATACCACAGTGGTCTTTAAAGTGTCATTTCCCACAGTAAACTTTGTCCTGCACAGAATAATACTAAAATATCCATGTAGTGGCTGCCTTGTAGGTTCTCATTGAAGTTAAACTCTCCACAGCTCGCAGATGCTGACAGCAGCCAAGGCTGATTGATATCTTAAAATAACAATAGTAATACAGTAAAACGGTAGGCTTTGTTACTAAAAGAAACTCTTAATTATCTTGTCACCTCAAGGTATTAAGTTAATATCCAGTCCCTTCAGGATTTCGCAGGCTTTTATGGGATTGTTGAAGCCTAAAATGCCTGATTTCACTGAAACTTTCCAAAAAATTGTGATTCATGTTGCAGGAGACAAGTGAAAATTATATAATTCCTTTAAAAGGCAACAGAATGGAAACACACACAGATTTTCATGCCAGCAGACAAGCTTGGCTCTGTCATTTTGTGATTTAAACATTGCTGCACTAAAGTTACCACTAACGTCTTTATTTTCTGGGTGTTTTTTATGGTAGAAAGGTGTTTTTCAATCAATGACTATATATATATCTATATATAGATATATAGATATATATATCTATATATAAGAGACGTTCTTGTTGCACGTTTGCATCTTCACAGGTGGAAACAAGGAATTGAGTTTGGTGACGTATGGCAGTTTGCGCAGGGGACTGCTATGATTGGTGATACTCATGGGAAACTATAATGTTTGGTCAGATTTGCAGAAAAGTTGCAGTGACAAAATTTCAAAGTAGCGCAGCACCGATGATTACAACATAATTATCTAAATTATATCTAAAACATGTAGACCTACTTGCTTCTTCTTCTTCTGTGATCACAGCCCCTCTGTAGTTGCAGGAGAAACAGTGCTCACTGGAACGGAATTAACTTTTTTAGAGCCAGCTGGTTGATATGAAGGTAATGAAGTGCTTACAATGCAACAGCTGTCCTAATCCATAATCATCGTACCTACATATCACAGGAACATATCAGTCACTCAGACATTCACAAGTGTGTTGAAATAATGACAAAAACACGACTTGCATCCTATGTGTTACAACAGTGCAGGTGTAGGGACACTGACTGTTGCTAGGCAGACCTCTGCCACTACTGCCAGCACTCAGCTTCAGTAATTCTGTATTTTGAACATTCCTGATGTAACACATTTAACAATTGCCTAAAATGTTTGTGTGATTTGAAGTACGACAGTCCTGCATTTGGCGTAGCTGCAAGGGTGCTGTGGACTTGAGGCCAAGTCACACCAGCATTGAAATAGTTTTAGACATTTTGAAATAAAAACAGTTAATTTCAATAATGTCATCTGCGATCAGAGGATTCTCCCAGAGGGCAAATTTTGCATAGTTCAACTTAATACATTTTAAGATACATTTTGTGAATTGGCACCATTGGGACACACTGATTATATATTGGCTGAACATTGGTACCTGGTATAGTATAGAAATAGACCTGAGCCGCAACAAGGCAGAGATGCTTATCTTTGTTATTTTTTTTCTATTTCCCTGGCACAAAACTGAGAATGAATAACTACAAAAACATTGGTATTCCCAACCGGTGCATCCCTACTATTGTGGAAGTGCTGACTTTTGTGGGAACCAAATGGCAGAGTGTACGCAAAAGTAGGAAGCTATCATAATACCCATGTTGCCCCATCTAGTCTGACATAACCTTGTTCCATAATAGAGATATAGCAGGGTCTGCAGTCAGTCAGAAGGCAGCAGGAGATTCAAAACACCCCCCTAAATGAATCTTTTTGGTAACCTGTAAATGAATTTTGTAGTGCCTGTGTATCATCTGACCTGCCTTTAAGCTGTCATGGACTGACTGATGACAGATGTAATATTCCAAAGCTTCTCAGCTGCATTCAACTTCTGTTCATTTGACCCTGTAATTCAATAAATTATTTCAACTCAAAACATTTGTTGAAACAGATTACATCAAACATTCAATTTTGGAAGTTAAAAAAGATTGTTGATGAAGCAGCTTTTGCTAGTTATTTTAAGTGACACTGACTTGGTTTTTTAGGTTACAGAAACATTCCTGATTAAGTACTAGGTATTTTGTTTTCACATTACAAATACAAATTACAAAATTAGGTCAGTGTCACTTAAAATTACTAAAGCTTAACTTAAACTTAACTAAAGTCAACTTATCTAGTTTTACAGTGGATAATGTTACCTGACATTTGAAGATGTTATTTCCATACTGAACAGCAAAGAATTATTATTATTATTATTATTATTATTAGACATTTTTCTTTTTATTCTTACCTCATTATTAACCCTTTCCTTTAATGAAATTCTGTTAAGATTTGATATATTTCGTTGGTGGCGGGATTAAAAATTGTTGATAATTATGTAAAGTGATTTTACGCGAGCTCCATGAAGCAGAGGACTGGATGTGCAATGATGGTGTCTGTCAGTCGATCACTGGTACATGAATATGCAGATCCTTCCCCAGCCCCTCAATACCTCTCTGCTCTGTCTCTCTAGTACACTGTAACTTTATTGTGAAACTGTAAAGGAGCCTCAGCAATACCCATGGTTTTATATGTATAATAATAATGTTATGATCTCACTCAGCATTAAAAAAATAAACTGTAGAAGAAATGTTCACACAGATCTGTTTTTCTTGTGTGTGTGTGTGTGTGTGAGTGAGAGAATGAGAGAGAGAGATAAGAACTGAGTCAATGATTGATTGAAATTTTGTAATCAAGACGAGGCCTCCCTAATAGATTACCTTTTATGTTAAAGGTTGCTCTGCTGTGACTTCACACAAAGCCAGAATATATTATTGGTAATTAGATTGGCCTCGTCTCATCAATAATATTAGTGTTAAAAAAAAAAGTTAATACAATTGAGAATTGAGAACAACTGATAATTGTATAAAAAGTGCCCTGAAGTAAACAATATAATGAGTAAATAATCTGGTCAAGATTCATGCAAATCACTTGTTATACACAAACGTCTTCCAGTTACTGAGTACACTATTTTGGTTCATTATATATTTTTGTATATAATATAAAAATATCCATAAAATATGTCACTGACTCAGGGTGGTCAGTTTACTAAACAATAGAAAGGGGTCAGGTTGGGAACAAATTATGTAGAATAAAACAGGACTTTGCACATGTATGAATTACAATAACCGAGTATTACCTGCTTCTCATTCTTTTACCTAATCCTCTTTTAGCCACTGTTCTGTCTGTATTTATTTGTACTCATTAAACAATGAATGAAGTAAAAGAAGAAAATGTGTACAAGGAGTCCTTGACCTGCTGCTGTGTGTGTATGAGAACTGGTAACAGACAGGTTTGAAAAGGTGTCACATACCTGCAGGTAAGAATGTAGGTTTTGTTAATTTTGTTTTTATTAAGAATGAACAAGAACAGAAAAAAAATGCTAAATTAATTCATAGTAAAATAGATGCATGTGCTTCCACCTTATGGTAATATGTTGAAGTACAGCACATCAGACAGTACATTTAAAAAGTCAGTGCAGTAAAACAGTCTGAAACCCTTTTTGTACAGTGATCAGTGAGGTCCGGCCCCCAGAAACACCGCTCCAGTAGTGAGCCATGTCTTGTTTTACGATTGGATTTCGATATAAAAATACAGTTTTTCTAAAAGTACTTAGATTTTGGAGATAATATATACTTTTACTTAAGTAAGGTTTTGAATGAAGGTCAGTATTTTACTAGTGATATTGATGCTATGTCAGATGAGTTGCCTTGCATGTGCTGTTGGAAATATTAAATAATAAGTTCATGGTATATTACTTGATTTGGAAGTGTAGCAAATAACTACATGCACATTTGTACATACAAAACACCTTGCACTCCCCCTTTTTTGTTGAGGAACCAAAGATTTCTACTCTCTTATTCTTGTATAATAAAATATAAAGATAAAATAATCTCAGATTTCAAATTTATAGAATAAAATTCAATCAAATGTAATAAATTCAGAATCAGCGACAGATGATGAAGGGCCTAGCTGTACAGCCTTTATGCCTTTATGTAGTGCTCAACAGAGAGAGCAGTTTGTGATCTGTACCTTCAGACCTTATTGTCCCACCTGTCAGTGTGATAAAGTGTCGAACGAAGCATGACTAGTGCAATGAGTAACTCAGGTTGATCAGCTGATATCCTGTTTTTCTCGACCAGGCAGATACAGGAAGTCACAGCGCTGCTGCAGAAGAGTTTGTTTAGTTTTTAAACGGTGTTGAAACGAACAAGGTGGTAAATCAGACTCAAGAGTTATGGACAGACTGAAGTGTGTGCTGTTGGTGCTCTGCTTCCAAAGCTGCTGGCACCTGCTTCAAACTCTGGAACAAGGTACTGACCTGCAGTGTGCTCGTGACACAGGAGACGGAGATCAGCACCTGATGAGTCATGTGTTCGTAGATTGTCTTGTTTAAAGTAATTGTTTTGTTCTCCATGTGTGACAAAGGACAGCATATGGAGAAAGACAAAGAGTCTGTTCTCTTTGTCTTTCTCCTGTTCAAAGTACATTGTTTCACTGTGAGCTGCCAGACTGTTCTGTTCAGTGACCACCCAGAGCAAACAAACTCAGCTGGTCCAGCTATTCTCACCACTGCTTTTGACTGATTAAAGCTGCAGTAGGTAACTCTTATAAAAATAACTTTTTGTCATATTTGCTGAAACTGTCACTATATATAATACATGAGACAGATAATCTGTTCCTCTGGCTCCTCCTATTGCTTCTCATGGCATTGGCAACAATCCACCGGGCCTGAACGAAAACAACCAATCAGAGCCAAGAAAGACAGGTAGACGCTTTGGGTCGGTGGCTTGAAGATAGTTGATTGTTGAGTTCCAGCATCGATATTTGATGACCTGGGAATGATTTTTTTTTTTTAAAGTTTCAGCAAATAAGTTACTACTGCAGCTTTAACAATTGAAAAATTCACACGTCACACACGTTTATCACAACCTCACTAACACTAAAAATGTACCTGTGACAAAGTGTTGTGGTCCTCTACAGCTCCTCTACGTTTTGTGGGGCTTGCGGACTGGGGCGGCGTTCCTTTCCCTCCATACTACACTTCTCATGAGGAGGCCGTTGCCACAGAGGTGGACAGGCTGGCTCGGACGGAGGGGGTGGACTTTGTCCTCAGCCTGGGAGATCACTTCTACTTCAGTGGGGTCAAGAATGTGGAAGACCCCCGCTTTAAGGTCAGCTCACAGAGCAAACACTGGGAGAGTAAGATGTAATTTTTGATGTACAAGTCTCATGTCAGGTCACAGGTAAATCTCAACTTCCTTTGCAGCAACAGACTTTGCATAAAGGGCATTTCGCAATGTTAATTTGTTGGGTTCAGTCCTGGGCTGCAGTCCAATAGTCCAAAATATCACATCCTATGTCCTTTCCTAAACACCTTTCCTTGACCTCGATGGACAATGTCAATCAATATTTGATATAAGATATTTGAACTTAAAAACATTGTTGTGGCACATTAGTAAAGCATTGAATAGAAATATCTAAAGGTGGCATTAGAAATCAATAAGTTGTTTTAT